GGAAACACGCAGATTTTGTATAATACAGGGGGGTTTGGTGCATTAAACCCATTGTTGACCATATATCAAGAACACCAACCGTAAGATACCCATCAACTTTCAATGATTCAAGCTGCTCTTTCATGATCATAGCATCACCAAATTTATAAATTACATCAAACCTAGAAGAAAAATATAATAATTAATTATAAGTAGTTGTAAGCAGGATATGAAAAATAAAATTAATATAGATAAGTAGGAAAAGTTACTTAGTCTCCTCATCATAAACAATCCAATTGAAAATAACACTTGGCTCTAGAACATCAACCAAATGTGTATCCTTATCCGTGGCCGCACACTCTGAACTTTCTTTGACCTTTGGTACTTTCTTACTCTCCTCAGCATCTTCACAGGTCTTTTTTCTTCTCTTTCTCTTTTTTCTTCAACAAACTGAACTTTCTTTTTTTTGTTTCTTCTTCTCTTTCTCTTTCTTCAACAAATTTTCATCTTGAGCTACCGCAAACTGCAACCAAATACATAACTTATTGATTAAAAATAAAATTGAAGTACATAAAAATACAAAATAGAATAAGTAGAAACAACATTTCCCCCAATCTGTCACCTTATCTATCTCCTGCGCTTTCTCTTTCTCTTTCTGTTCCTCTATTGCAATCTCCTTCTCTTTCAATTTATCTCTTTCAATCTCCATCTCAACAACCGCTTCTTGAAAATTACCAAGAGCTGCTTCTTGAACACAAACATGCTGCACAGCAATTGTTGATTCAACAGGAACGTCAGAAATTATCGAAGTTGGCACTTCAACAGAAACATGAGTCTCAATAGTTGGTTCCGCAACAGGCACTTCAACAACTGGTTCAAAAATTGGCACTTTGGCAGGGACTTCATCAGAAGTTGGCGCTTTGACAGACACTTCATCAGAAGTTGGCACTTCAAAAAAAACATGAGTCTCAGCAGCTGGTTCCGCAACAGACGCATCAACAGCAACATTTGGGATTGTTCTTTCACCTCGAATATCATCATCATTCAATGGATCTTCAGAAAATTGCTTAGAAATATTAAGAACATCATCCCAACTCCGGTCACTTTCTTGAGACAACCCAATTCCCAAAGAAAAACTCGGAATATCATCCATTGTCTTTTTGAATTGAGCTCTCTTTTCAATGGCTTGCTCAATCTTCTCGATTGTTGCAATGGTTTCTGGGTTATTCCAGAAAGCATTCGTTTCCTCACTGTCATCAAAATCATCTGCAGCAGCAGGTCTTTGTGAAGATTCAGGATTCTCTGAATTGGAAGAAATGAGATTCTTCGTTGCTTCATGAATCTTCTTGTAATTCTCATCAGATGTCATCTCCTCAGGTGCATCTTGAAGCAACGAAATAACATCAACAACATCAGTGGCCAAACAGGCAACTTTGCTCAGAAGCTTTGATCTGTACACCTGTTAAATAGAGAAAGAAATAAAAAAAATAGACAAATTATAAGCACATAAGCATTGAAAATAAAACTAAATATGCATCAATATAGGTGTACATATGCAGCACCTAAGCAGTAACCATGCACAACAGATGAACTAAGCATTAACCACACAATATGCAACTCATATGAACTGAATATGCAACACATATGAAATACATATGCAAGTCATATTAACTAAATATGCAATAAAAACCAACTAAATATGCAACTATTTTGAACTAAGCATCATAAAAGATGGACAAATTATAAGCACATAAGCATTCAAAATCAACTAAATATACATCAAAATAGGTGTACATATGCAACACATAAGAAGTAAACATGCACAACAAAATGAACTAAGCATTAACCACACAATATGCAACTCATATGAACTAAATATGCAACACATATGAAATACATATGCAAGTCATATTAACTAAATATACAATAAAAAACCAACTAAATATGCAACAATTATGAACTAAGCATCATAAAAGAAACAACTAAATATGCAAGTCATATTAACTAAATATGCAACAAAAACCAAACAAAGAAATAACAAACCTGTACAGGATCATCAGAAACATCCTTTGATTCAGGCTTCTTGAACTGTAAAGCCGAAATCTCCATCGGTTCATCAACAAATCCCCATCCAAAACCACCCACCTTAATTTCTTTAGAGCATCGTCGACAGAGAATCCCACAATTCCATCCAACAAACGAAGGCAGACTCCTTGGAAGAACATCTCATTCATAAATCACTACCCGATCAACATATAAAACCTGCGTTTTGACAAAAAATAAATAAATAAATAAATAAAAATATCAAACAATAACAATCTAAACAATTTACAAGAAAATAATATAGACATGAATACTTACCACAAGAAAAAGAACAGGACCATTAAATTGAGACTTATTACTGTTGTGCCAGTGATCAGTCTTTGATATAAGGTTCTGAATGACGTAGTCGCACCAATTCAACTCAGAAACAGCTGATACATCATAAATAGACTTGAAAAAAAAGAGGATTCACATATCCAGATTGATTTGTTCCCACAATCAGACAATCCACAAGAGCAAGAAAATGTAACTTGAACCAGTAATCTCCATCAACACACTCCATCATTTTATTGCATACAACATTGGGGGTAACTTTCAATGAAGACTGGCCAAAACAACCCTTCCACTGATTCAACAAATCACACTCCTCAGATTTGTTTTTCTTCTCAGTAGACTTATCACCATTGGGGAAGCCTAGAACACGCTGAACGTCCAAAGATGAGACATGAATACTTCTTCCTTTCCCAAATTCAAGCTGACAACTAACAGGACCAAAGTTCGACAACAACCAGTGCACCAACTGACATGGAAATTCTTTAATTTTCAGATCAAACAGACATCCAAAACCCATTTGCTCAACAGCTATTCACTGTTTTTGGTTAAAAGATTTTATAGCGTCCACAAGAATCTTTGGAGAAGACCGAGTTAACGCTTTTGGGAATGATTTATTACTATCCAACTGACCTTCTGTGCCATCAGTAAGCAACAGAATATCATCAGCATCTCCCCTTTTACGCTTGCTACTCTTACCACGAGGCATACTTCAAGAATATCTGACTTATAATAACACAAAAATGAAATAAATTATATGATATATACTAATTAAAAATAAATGCACATTATAACCAACTACATATGCAACTCATATGAACTAGATATGCAAAATCAAAACATGTCATATAAACTAGATATGCAACTGATATGAACTAGATATGCAATTCATATAAACTAAATATGCAACTCATATAAACTAAATATGCAATATCAACCAACTATATCAGAACATTGTAGATCTAAAACATGCAAAGATATAACTATATATGCATAAGTTATTATCTAACATAGCAACAATACAAAGAGTGTTCCTCTGCATTCTAAAACTAAAAATGAAAAAGACATACGATATTTATGCATTCTACAAGCTCTAATACAGAGACGAGAAACAACGAAATGTTCTCAACAGATCTAGCACAAAAAACAACTAAATATACATAGAAAATATACTATCTATACATTATTCATCAACTAAAATAGCATAAAATAGGGTTGATCACCACAGATTTAGCACAAGAAAAACAACGCCGACGATATATAACCACAATAACCTAAAAAAATCAAAACAACACAGGAAAGTAAAATAAAAACAGATATACTCACCAACTTGCGAGAAATCGGAACTGCAACTACGATGATATTGATAGAAATCGGAAGATAACTCAAACAAAAACCGAAAGCAAAGAACAAATGATGAAAGACGCCAACGAAAACTGAATCTACAAGGTTTGGAAACTGAGATAGCGTCGAAAAATGAGATAATGATGAGAGAGAGCGCCAAAGATATAGGGAAACGAAAAAAGACAATGATGAAGAGAGAGCATTGAAAACTCAAACGTTTTGAAATGACGGGACAACATAAAACCGCGAACCAAATCATTATTTAAGAGGCTGCTACTGACCATCAAATCGAGCGAGAAATAAAGGGCTGAGATCTGGTCTCACGGACACACTTTAAATATGTGGACTCATTGGAACCAATCCCTATATATATATATATATATATATATAGGGATTGGTTCCAATGAGTCCACATATTTAAAGTGTGTCCGTGAGACCAGATCTCA